TAGCGGCGTCGGCGATGACGTAGTGGCGCTTGTTTGCCCATCCGGAGCTGGAGCGTCCTCCGTCGTCCGGGAGAGAGCATCGGCGACGACGTTGTCTGCGCCGTCCACTTGCTGGAACGTGATGTCGAACTGTAACAGGAAGTCCAGCTGACGTTGTTGACGTAGTGAGGCCTTGTCCGAGGGTTAGTTTGCCGCGAAGGTGAGCGGACGATGGTCCGTCAATACGGTGAATGGACGACCCTCGAGGATACGCCGGAAGTGGTGAACAGCCAGGAAGACGGCTAAGAGCTTCCTGTCATAGGTGCTGTAGCGAGCCTGCGTTGATGACGTCTGTGAGAAGAAAATGACAGGCTGCAATTCTCCGTTGACCAATTGTAGGAGCGCGGCGCCAACGGCCGTGCTGGATGGGTCGGTAGCCAGTCGAAGAGGAGCATTAGGCGACAGGAAAGCGGTTTCCACTGCTCCGGCAAGGCTGCGTCGGGCGTCCTCGAAGGCTCGATCTGCTGCGTCGTTCCAAACCAGCGGACGCCGGCTGCKCTTGGGAAGACCCCGAAGAAGCTGGTTGAGCGGCGCCTGGATGTGAGCGGCGTGCGGTAAGCTCCTTCTGAAGAAATTGATGACGCCCAGGAAGCGTCGCAGGCCTTTTGGTGTAGTAGGCTTCTGGTAGTTCCGTATGGCGTCGATCTTGCGCTCCGGAGGGCGGATGCCGTTGGCGAAGACCTGGTAGCCTAGGATGGTGACGCTGGGCAGTCCGAGCTGGACCTTGTCCACCTTGTAGGATAGGCCGGCCTCCCGTAGACGGTCGAAAAGCATCCGTAGATGACGAAGGTGTTCTTCGTGCGAGGAGGACCGGATGAAGAGGTCGTCGATGTAGCTCCGGACGAAAGGTAGGTCCCGGAGTAAGGAGTCCATAAACCGCTGGAACGTCTGTGATGCGTTCCGAAGACCTAGCGGCATCCTCTGGAATTCGTACAGTCCGAACGGTGTCGTGACCGCTGTTTTCTCGATGTCCTCCTTAGCCATCGGAATCTGGAAGTACGCCTCCTGGAGGTCCAGCACCGAGAAGACCGAGCAGCCACCGCTATCCTCGAGTAGGTCCTCGATGACAGGAAGGGGATAGCGATCCGGAAGCGTGATGGCGTCGAGCCGACGGAAGTCGCCCGTCGCTCGGAACCCGCCCGTAGGTTTTTCCACCGGGTGCAGAGGGCTGGCCTATGGACTCGACGAAGGCCTGATGACTTCCTGACGCAGAAGGCGGTCGAACGTGGCTTTCGCCGCTGCTAAGCGCTCGCCGGAGAGGCGGCGCGGTCGCTCGAAGACAGGCGGTCCGGAGGTTGTGATGCGATGCACCACTGAGGAACCCTGAAGCGCTGCTCCCCTCTCAGAGGGCTGGGCGAGGTCTGCGTACTCTGCAAGCAGCTTGTCGTAGGTGGTGCGATAGTGGAGATCCGAGGGTCCCGCGATGGCGTCGACCCCGTGAACGGAAGCCTTCTGGTAGTGCACCGTCGATTCCTTGGAAGAGGCCGGGTCGACCAGTCGTTGCCTACGAATATCCCCCAGGAAGCCCGTGTGGTTGAGGAAGTCTGCTCCTAGGATGGGCACGGGCACGTCGGCGACGGTGAATATCCAGGGGAACTCGCGCTGAAGACCCAGGTTGAGCGTCAGTAGGCGTCGTCCGTAGGTGTGGATCGGTGACCCGTTGGCCGCGATGAGCTGGAGACTGTCCTGGGACAACGGTCCGGAAACCAGGCGGCGCTGCAGGAGTGATATCACGGAGCCGCAGTTGATGAGCATCGCGTGTCTGAGCGAGCTCTCGTAGACGTAAAGGCGGAAGTACGAAAAGGATCGAGCGGCGCCACCGTGTACCGCCAAGTTGTGCGGCGGCGCTACTCGTTTAACGCCCTGTCCTGTTCGTAGCTGCACGGTGGGGTGCA